TCCCTGATCCTAAGGACTCCATCTTTGATCAGTACCTCGCTATCGTGCTCATCCAGCTGACCAATGCTGATGATGCTGGAACGTAGCTACGGGATGTAATATACATCCGTTAACGTGCGGTGCTCTCCGTTTGGCACCTGAAGATGATGGTGCCGCGCCCTTAGATAGCCACCCTTGAGCCGTCACCAAACTTCACCGTACCGGTAACATCGTCGTCGAGCTCGGAGAAGGATTCCTTGGAGCTTATCATGTGGTTGCTGGCACCATAGTCCAAGTACCACCGCTGCTCCTGGTCGGCACCCACACATCCGAGGTGCACTTGGGCGCGTGGTTCGTCGAGGTTGACAGCCTTCAGGGCCTTCCCAGGTCCTTCCACCGCCGTCGCCTCTTCCTTCTCCTCGGCCTCGACGTCGTGCAGTGCACAGAACATCACCATCAGGATAGTGGCCTCATCATCATCATCAGCTTGTGCCAGATGAGCCTCAGCCTTCTTCTCCTGCTTGCGATTTGGGCACTCCCGTACCCAATGGTCCGTCTTCCCGCAGCGCCGACAGGCATTGGGGTTGACCTGCTTCTTCTTCACCGAAGAAGCCTTGCTGTGGCGTTTGCCATCGCCACCGTGGCTGGAGGAGGCTACCCCAGAGTTCCTCCGAGCATCCACTCTCTTCTATCGCCACAGTTACCGCCTTCTTCGCGCCGCCGCTCCATGCGCTCGTCCACCGCCCGCAGACGGCCTGTCACATCCTCAATGGTGAGGGTGGACAAGTATAACATCGTCTCTATGGAGAGAACGATCTGGATGTACTTTGTCGGCACGAAGTGGAGGTACTTGGAGACCGCCTCCTCTTCGTCGATGGTGACTGTGGCTCTTCAGCTTGCTGATGAGCGTCTGCAGGTGAAGGGAGAAGTCCTCCACCTTTTCCCCATCCTTGAACTTGAGGTTGGCGTACTCCTGCTTTAGAAGCTGGGCCGTCGCCTTCTTTGCGCGGTCAGAATCGACGCTCATCGCCGCAATGGCCTCCCACGTCTCCTTAGCAGAGCTCTTCGCCCCCAACGGCTCCCTGTACTCCATCGGTACAGCAGCGAGGATAGCCTCCAACGCTGACATGTCATCCTCCTCATTATTGGTGCCCTTGTCAACAGCATTCCAGAGCCGTCGGGCTCTGAGCTTGATTTTTATGGTCACCGACCACTCTCCATAGTTGGCGCGAGTCAGCGTCGACCAACTAGTGCCGCTGACATTCCGCACCATTGAAAGGTCCTAATATGGCTAGAGGGGGGGTGAATACCTATTTAAAAACTACAAATCAACTAGAGCAATTTGATTAGTAAGACAAATAGCGAGATGCAAACTTGCTCTAGCTCTACAAGGGTTGCAAGCCACCTATCCAACAATTCTAGTTGTAATGATCTATTTGCACACAATCTACTTGACCACTACTCACTAAGAGCTCTCACAAAAGCTACACTAAAGAGCTCCACTAGATATGTTTAAAAGCACAAGGCAAGCTCTCAATTCTAATTACACTAAAGAGCTTGCTATATCTAGTTTATGAAATGTAAATGAGTAAGTGAGACGAGATTATTATACATCCTCAATGGAGTGAACCAATTACACGATGAATATATAGCCAATCACCGGGAGAATGCAATTGACAAGAGACAACCGATTTTTCTCCCGAGGTTCATGGAGCCAACACGCTATCCCGTTGTAGTCGACCAACACTTGGTGGTTCGGCGACTAAGAGGTGTTTCACAAACCTCGTCCACACGATAGACACCGCAAGAACCGACCCACAAGTGAGGTAACTCAATGACACGAGCAATTTACTAGAGTTACCTTTTGCCACTCCGCCGGGAAGGTACAACTCCCTCACAATCACCGAAGGCGGCCACGAACAATCACCAACTCGTGCGATCCTTCACCGCTGCTCCAACTGTCTAGGTGGTGGCAACCACCAAGAGAAACAAGCGAAATCATGAGAACACGAATACCAAGTGCCACTAGATGCAATCACTCAAGCAATGCCTTTTCTCCCATCTCACTTGAACTCAATGATGGAGATGAGTCGGAGGGCTTTGGCTAAGCTCACAAGGTTGCTATGTCAATGAAAATGTGCAAGAGAGCTCCCTTGAGCGGCCATAGGGCTATAAATAGAGCCCCCATCAAATAGAGCCGTTGGGGCAAAACACGCTCTTCTTTGCGATCGGACGCTGGCCCTCAGCGTCGTCGCCTGCGATGGACCTCCGCACGTCCGCCGATTTCAAGCAGCTCTGCCGGTCAAAACTCCGGACGCAGAAGCCCCAGCGTCCGGTCGCTTCGATAAGCTCCCGAGGCGTATTTCTTGACGGCCACCTTCCCGGACGCAGTACTGTGGTCCGTGCTCAACCCTTCCTATGGTGGTTGCTCGACAGCTCGGCCGGATAGCCTGAGATTCAGCGTCCGGTCACAGGACCGGCCCACACATCATTTCTCCCAACTCCATTTCAACTCTAACTTGGTGCCCTTGCTCAAATGTGCAACCACTAAGAATTTTGCATCCGGCGCGCAATAGAAAATAGACATTTCATTTTTCCAAAGCGCCTAATCCCGCCGAAGCTTATGAGGCGGAGCTTGATCAACCCTAAACACCTTGTGCACATGTGTTAGCATATTTTCACAAATATTTTCAAGGGTGTTAGCACTCCACTAGATCCTAAATGCATATGCAAAGAGTTAGAGTATCTAGTGGCACTTTGATAACGATTTCGATCAGTTACACTCCTCTTAATAGTACGTTATCTATCCTAAATGTGATCACACTCACTAAGTGTCTTGATCACTAAAACAAAATGGCTCCTATATTTTATACCTTTGCCTTGAGCCTTTTGTTTTTCTCTTTCTTCTTTTCCAAGTTCAAGCATTTGATCATCACCATGCTATCACCATTGTCATGATCTTCGTCATTGCTTTATCACTTGGAGTAGTGCTACCTATCTCATAAACATCTTGATAAACTAGGTTAGCACTTAGGGTTTCATCAATTAACCAAAATCAAACTAGAGCTTTCAACCATGCGAACAACGATCTCCGGTCGTGGTTGGGCAGCCTCAGCAGTGCCACTGTTGTTGCCCATCTTCGAACCATTCGTCATCGCCAGCGGTTAGTCCGGCGACGGCGCTTGTACGACTCCGATACCACTTGTTAGTCCACAGGATCACCGGCTCAGGTGAGTCGATCACTCACCAGTCTTGCCGAGCATCCACTAGCTATGCCGACCACGAATAAGCGTTGTTCGACTAGACACACTATGGCTAGAGGTAGAAGAAGAGGAAGAACAGAGCATACACACACAGTATAAGCACCAGCGTTGGCCAAAGCCCTGTGTTGGAGATGGCAAAATTGAACTCTCTTTGTTGAGTTGCAGTGGCAAACTATATATACAACTCTATCCATCTAGTCCTAGTACAGCTCCCATGCTGCAACAGTGACTAAATAACACAGCAGGACTGACTTCTACGCATGTTCCTGCATGTGGCTACAGTACGGCAGGTGAGCCGTTCGACGCCTGCCTCTGCAACGGCTACAATACCACAAGGAATCCTTTTCGGCGTCGCCTTTCCTTACTGTGTGTTCATACAAGAAAGCAGTAGATTATCTAACAATATGGTGTTTGAAAATACATTATTGCATAGAATGCTGTCACATAACATTTACATTATTAGATCAGTTAGTACGTGTGTGTGGAGTGAAAAACCGAAAATAGCAAGATACTCCTATCTTTTATGCATGTTGCTTTTCTATTTTAAAAATGACGTGGATAAACTTTTTTTTTCAGTCAACCCATTAGCAGTTGAAAAGAAGGAAAAAAATTACAAAATGTACAGGACCTTACGACATCCTGAGCAGTAGAAACTCCGGTGACTGATCGGCGAGAGCCCCGAGCGGCCGAGCCATGCGCGCGGCAGAAAGACCCGCGAGCCGCTCCTGATGGAGGCGCCTAGCTCGCCGGCGAGGTTGAGTCGAGGTGGACGTCGTCGGGCTTGACGTCGCGATGAACCGCGCCGCCGGTCAGGAGTCAGGAGTCGGGGCTGGCTGTGCCCGGCGAGCGCCAGCGGCGAGCTTCACCACTGTGCAGCATGGGCGCATGGCAACTGGCAACACCGACCCCGGGGATCCACCGTCGTCGTCCGTCGACATCTCCATTCCCTCCGTCCCCATGAATATTCCCTACCTATCCACCCATCCATGATCGTTGGACCGATGATCGCTGGTATACACTTCTCCAATTCTCCTGATCTCACGATCACCGAACGTTAATTGGAAAAAAATTATCGTCTCGATCCCGAGTCCCGAGAGCGGTAGCCAGTTCCCTTGAACGCCAAGCGAGTTGGCGCCGCGCAGCACGTTCCGGGCCAGGAAACCCGCCACCGGCCGCGTCCGCGAAAGCCGGGCGCTGGAGTGCGAACGCGTCCAGCTCGGCGCGGATTAATTGACGCGCATTGCATGCAACCCTCTGAATTGTGAACTGAAATCCAGATGGATGGATCGATCGAGCCCAGCGATAGGAGTCCCACGCACGCAAACGCAAGCAACTCCGCGCGCCTCGGTCCCAACGCCCTCCATTCTCCACTGCCTCTCGCTCGACCCCCTCGTCTAGCTAGCTCGTCTTCCCTCTCGCCTTGCCTACGCCAACCGTACCTCACGCGAGCGATTGACTTCTTCCCCAGAAGCTAAGCTACCAGGCCAGCTAGCTAGCAAGTACATACTCCTACGTGCAGATGCTAACTACTCCTACAGGCTACAGCTAGCAGCCTTGTTGCTTCCCTTGTTAGCTACCTTTTCCGTCCGGTTTCCACTTTCCAGAACCTGATCGAGCTACCTACACAAAGGGCAAGCAGATGCATGCCGATAGCTAGGTACTAGCTCGGCCACCGGCCGGTCGGCCCACGCTGTTCCATCCATAAAATCCTCCTCTAGACTGCCGGCCAGAAACCTGCTGCACGTACGGTGGCCGGCCATGAGACGACCTCACGCCGCCGCCGCTACCGCTCTCGCTGTCCTCCTCCTCCTGTGCCTGGCCGTCGCGTTGATCCACGGCAACGGCCTGGCGAGGAGGAGGCCAACGACAACGAGGTGGCCCGCCGTCCCGAGGAAGATGCTGCTCGCCATGACGAGCTTCGACGCTGCTGCTTTGCCCTCGTCAACTGGTCACCACCACCACCATCACCACCATCTTCACCACCACCACCATCTTCACCACCACCACCATCTTCACCACCACCACTACAACGCCGACCGGCGATGGAACCGGCACGGGGTTATTCCACTTCCACCGTCAGCGGCTGGCGAGGGTGACGAGGCGATCGATCCGCGGTACGGGGTGCAGAAGAGGCTGGTGCCTTCAGGCCCGAACCCCTTGCATCACTGAGAAGTCTCGGCGTGGGCGCGTGGCACGCAAGCAGCAACACCTGCATGCTTGCATGGATCCGGCAGCTTTTCATGGCGGCCGCACAGCACAGGCTGGCTCGGTTTCCATGGTGAGTACACGCGGTGCACATCATCTTGCTGTGTAAACCCGATCCATCGAATTCCAGTAATCGAGTCAAGTATATTCTTTGGTTGTGCTGTGTAGTTGGAAGTGATGCGCTGAAGCATGCGTATTTTGCTATGGTGTCAGTCATCGCACAACCTTATTCATTGCCATTCGTGTGTTCATGTATATGTAATTAAATGTGCAATCTTGGTCTCCAGCTGCAAAGCAAGTGAAACAAAAAGTGATCAGAGGGTAATCACTAGCTAGCTACTTATATTTATATATAGTACATATATAAGTCATGTTGACGAGGAGAGGATATGGCTATGCTTATTGGTTTCTTTTTTCAGTTTCTCCATTCCGTTTCCAATTCGTTCATTTTCTGTTTCTTGATCAAAATCTTGACATGATGATGTATATGGGACGTGTTTTATCTACTCCCGCCGTGTGTAGCTACACCCTGAAATAATGAATCAATGATATTGTAATTTTTTTTGAAACAATATTGTAATTTTTTTATTAACCTCCAAGACTCCAATGCTAAAATGAAACTTCGGTTTCCGCGTTTCCATGCATGCAGTTAGTTTGGAAAGCTCGCATGCCGCATGTGCCATATGTCTCTCGTATCCCCCACCCAATTTTTTTAGGCCTTGGATGCGTGCAACAGCAGGAATATGCTGCAGTCAAAGCTACACATAACAATAACATAACATACGCCCTCCTGTTTGTATATAGAGTCTAACTCAGTTCTTTTTCAATTGGAAGTCTAACTAGGTAGCTTGGACGGCCACGCAAATAGTAGGGGTACTAGTTTTTTCTTTTCCTTAGGGCACTTCTAGTGCAGAAACCATCATAGTTTCTATGAACATTAATTGTAATACAATCTAAGCGTTTTGTTAATGTGACAAGATAGTTATTGAAGAGAGAGAGCAAAAATCATAGAAACCGGGTCTCAGTTAGAAACCATGTCTACACGAGAATCAAGACATGAAGGTACGTGATTGGTAGATAATGGAGAGAGAATGTATGTGATTGGATAAAAAAATTTTTATAGAAACTATCCATTATGACCATGGTTTTTATATGTAGTGTCTATGAAAATTAATAGGTATAGAAACTACATATATATAGTTTCTAGCATTGGGATTGTCCTTATTAGATAACATTTTGATTTTTCTATTAAAATAGTTTTTACAAAAATAGTTATGTTTATTTGTTTGATTGCATTTGTCATCTACTTTTTCACCCAATTGCATTCATCGGCATGAACAACCATATATGATATATCTATCACCAATAAATCTTTTGGCTTTAACCAAATGTTGCCTTTCTTTCATCTTCTTTTTTTCTACTCCTATTCCTTTCCTGGGATCGCAAAGTAAGGTAGCCTTTAATTTCTTTTTCTTTTTGAATGAGGGCAGCTTCAACCATTGACTTTTAAGCTAGCTCTAAATATTTTTCTCATATTTTAATAGAAAATGGAAGAAAAGCCAGCTCTTAATCAAGAGTTAAGCTCTTGCTCATTTTAAGGTTATGTGAGAGTGTCATGTGGGTCCATCCATCCATTCTATATGCTAAAAGTTAGCACTATTAGAGATTATAGCTTAGAGCTAGTAACTAGCTCTAACCATTGTGGGTGCCCTGAGCTCCATTCCTTATTAAGGGCAAGTACATTGATGTTTGTCTCATAGGTAATCTCATTCAATATCACGTAATCATAAGACGATTGAATAACCAACTCATAATGGGGTTGTCTTTTAAGTTGTCTTATAGTAATTCAATTATCTTCAATTTGTGCAATCAACAAATGAAAGTTTGTGAGTTGCATGTTTGCATGACAATATTAAATCATATATGGTAAAAATCATTGTCTCATGGTCCTAAACTTTTGCTCATGAGATGGTTGTTCCATGAAACAAACGCTTCTCAGCTAAAATATAGAAATGTAGTTACCCTAAGACTACTATCATTTTTCAGTTTCTTTATCCTCTTCTAAATTTAATGTTTGGGCACTTTACACACTATACTAACTGTTCTTTTCCCTATAATATTGCCAGATTCAACACAATTCTACTCATATACTCCCTTCGGTCCATTTTATCTGGCATAGGTTAGAATGACACGGTCTCCTAGATTACACTTTGACCATTCATTTGCTTTATATTATATTATTTATGCTTACAAACTTATAATCATTGGTTAGTATAATTCTTTACAAATATAATCATATAAAGTTTGTATTATAATAGTTAAAAATTATTAGCCTAATTATTGGTCAAAGTTTTTAAAATTTGAATCTTGATATGCGTGTGCGTCAGATAAAATGGACCCGAGGTAGTATATGTTGAAGCCACTACAGTAGCCTCAACCAACCGCTAGTGAGTCTTGTCTGGGCACCAACACCGATCATGTCTTAAGCGTTTACATAGAAAATAACTATAGAAGTCATTGGTGATTTGCTAATCTAAGACCTGCTACTCATGCCACTCTTAACTCTACCGCGCACTATTGTCAACCATGACATGGCAATATTTGTTCCGCTTGTGACTTGTTCCTCATGAAGAAAAATAGAAGAATATCATTCATTGTGTTGCTTGCGAGCTTCTCATGCATGTGCATTGAAAAATCCCTTTGACCATTTCAAAGTAGTTTTTTGGGTGGTTGGCTGACATGGTGGTGGGGCCCACATGTCGGGTGGTCTCTCTCTTTCTTTTATATAGAAAAATCATAACCTTCTCATATTAAGCCAAACTTGATATCAAAATTGTATATCTCAAGGTGATCTAAAATTTCATAGTTGACAACTTTTTTTATTTGAGATTTTTTAGAGGTTCAAATATTCATTCTAAGTTATCAATTTTTGAAATTCAATGTTTAAATTTTTCAAATGACCTAGGATGTTGGCATGGTCCATACCAAAGTTGTAGCTCTCAATGTTGACATGGTAATTTTGATGCAACAGGGGGGTTAGAGCAACTCCAAGATTAGCCTCTTTATAACTTTCCATATTGATAGGAATAGAGATTTTGGGGAAAAAGCCCTCCAATAACTTTTCCAGTTAGATCTCCAAATTAAATATTAACATCCTCTATTTTTGATTTCTTGCTAGACAAAGATATTAGAGAGCTGAAATGGCTCTCCAGACTCCAGAGTATGCACAAGATATAGAGAATTTGTTGGAGGCTGAGAAGATATATTGATATAGAGAGCGATTTTTATTCAAATGCCTCTCTGAACAAGGATTGAGAGAGAGAATTTTAGAAAAAATTATTGAAGCTACTCTTACTTTATGTATTTTTTTGAAAATGATAGAGGTAGGTTTTTTTTTTGTAAAACAGAATAGATGTAATGGCTATTATTGAAGATGATGATTAGAGTTGACAAAATTAAAAATCAGATGTTTTTTTATTATTATGAGAATATCTAGGATTTATACTTTTCCTAATACATTTTGTGAGAATTAACATGGACTATTTTGGTGTCTCTAATTAGTAATAGTACGAATAAGATTTTAGATCTATCATTTTTTTATAGTGCACCTAAAAAAATTAACATGGAAGCTCCGAACAGGCCTCTAGTTAGTATGTACTAGAAGAATACATTGTGCATTGCTATATTATTTTTTAAAAAACAAATGTGTTATATATAGAATTACTCTATGGTACTCTGGTATGTATATATATAAGCTTAGCTTGCATGTTATTTTATTGCAATTGGATCTAGTAAAAAGTGGTAAGCTAATGGAAGAAAAGCAAATAGAATATCGGATCACATTATAAAAGAATAGGATGATGGAACAAATAGCATATGCAACTTATATATTGATAGATTAAAGATTAAAAGTATTGCACATACTATAGATGATGCAGATATTTTTTATATTTAATAAGAGATCACATGGATAGCTTGTACGAAAGAATTACAAGTTAGTGGTGGGACACTCAGTGGGTAATGATAGCCATGTTCGACAGGACTGAAAAATAAGTTAAGACACTGTTCCGGCTGATTGTTGTGAGAGAAAAATATTGTTCTATCTGGATGTGAACAGTGTTTATGTGAGTGAGCTGGCCAGCCAGGCTCAACCCAGCCAGCCAGCCAGCCGAACGCTCGCGATGTGGACACCTTGTATTAAGAGATAAAACATCTAGTGGGATTAGATTATTTATTGGATTATATATATATATATATATATAATATAAGTAATAATCACACAACCGTTACCACTTACAATCAATTGCGCCGATATTTTTTTTTTTCGCCACCACAGTCATCCCTAACATTATTTTATTAGATACAGTACAGTACAGATACAGTCATGCATCGCCGGTCGCCGCCGCGCCCGCCTGCATGCATCGCGAACTCCCTCAACGCAGGATGCCGGGGCTGCAGTAGGTGCCCTTGAGCCACCCATCCGCGATGGAACGGTAGGCGGCTTCCGTGAGATGGATGCCGTCCCACACCAGGTACTTCTCCGGGTCGCCGCACGCGCTCGACCCGGACATTCCGCACCGCGCATTGTTGTTGTAGTTGTAGGAGCCCTGCCCGCCGGCGCCGCAGCACACCTTCAGCCCGTATTTCAGCCCTGCATGCGCACAGTGCAAAGTTAAAACACACAAGCAATGGATCATCGTCAGGTTCTCACTCCATGCACCAGCTAGCGAGCGCACAAGAACGGCAAGTCGCGTACCGAAGGTCTCCGGTGACCGGACCATGTCTGCGACCTGCGCGTAGAAGTCGGCGTACATGAGCCGGACGCCGGCGTGCTTGCTCTGCAGGCCGGACACCGCCTGCCTCAGCAGCTCGTTGTGGTAGCTGGACAGGTTGTTGTAGCTCTTGAGGCAGCCGATCTCGTCGTAGTCGTCCTTGCTCGAGCTCGGGTACAGCGTCAGGTACAGCGGGAAGCACCCGATCGGCAGCACCCCCGGCACCACCACGTCCACCGCGCCCATCCCGATCAGCGTCTGTTCAAATCGGCCGGCCAGAGGCCGGATCACGTCAGAGCTGTTGTGTTTTCGTTCCCTGTGAGCGTGCCGGCGTGGTGTCGTATCTTACTTACCTCCACGCCGCTTGCGATCCGGTCGACGATCTCGGGCACGTAGCTTCTGACCTCGGCCATGGCCTTGCCGCCGAAGAGCGGCGCGTTGTAGTCGTTGCCCCCGAACTCGCCGACGACGAACAGGGAATTGTTGAAGTAGCTCTGGCAATCTACACGGCACGTTCGCGGTTCAGCATTATTCACTAATAATCACTGGATCTTAGTGATGAAACGATCAAGAGTGAGACGGTCGTCACCGGCACCGGTGCCGCAGATGGAGGGCATGAGCTGCTGGAACCACTGGATCTGGGTACCCAAGGGGCCGTTGTTCCAAATGTTGTTGCCGAGGCCGTGCTTCTTGAAGAATTCGAAGTCCATGGTGGTGGCGCCGATGATGGCCATGTTCGCGCCCTTCTTGACGTCGCCGGCGCCGATCGCCTTGGACGGCGGAAGAAGCGGCAAGCCAAAGTGATCAGCTGCGTATGCGCGACATGTCAGTATCGGACATGCATGGATAAAGCACACTGCACACAAACCTAGGAAGTCGAGGATGACGCGGGCCGGTGGGGTGCCCGAAGTGGGTGTTGCCGTAGGGTGGCTGCCCAGTGGTGAGCAACGACGGGCAGCCGCCGGGGTCCGTGCAGAGGTTGCCGGTGTCGGCGATGGAGTCCCCGAAGCTGTAGATCGCGTTGTAGCTCTGCGAACACCCGTAGTGCCCGGTGACGGAGAGGAGGAAGACGATGAACGCCACCGCCCTCAGCATTGCTGATCAGATGCGTCACGCCTGGAATGCCTGCAACTCTGTGCTTGGTTGCAGCGTTCAGCGAACAGACGCTGCCATTTATAGCGTGAGACTGCGAGCCATCGTCACTGTGACCATCGGCTGAGGTGTCATCTTTGGATGGTTGTTCTGGACTTCAGGAGTCAACTCTAGCAGAGCACTTCTTTAATCTTTTTTTTTAGAGTTCTTCTTTAATCTATTGATGGGAATTCTCTGTTCAATAACGATACAGTGAGTGGACCTGAAAAAGAACATAAATTAATAGTGGTGTACTCAAAACTAATACTACTCCACCTATAAAATAAAAACTAATACTACTCCTGTTTCCTTGTTTTTTTGCGAATTCAGTTTCATTTTTCAAAACAGAAAATTTAAAGCTTTTCTGCGTGCACAGAAATTGGTCCTCTCTTTGTGCATGTATCTGTCGGTTTGTTTCTTATGTTAAGTGCATAGACGAATTGAAAATTTGAACAAACCGATTGGAAAACCAGATGGCATAGCAATGCATGTTGGATACTGAACATACATACAGTTATTAAATGTGTTGACCATATAGCTCCTGAAGACCATATAGCTCCTGAAAACCAGATGGCATAACAATGCATCTTAGAGATGAGCAGATAACAGCATAGTTCCTGGAATAATGACAAGGACGGCCATTATCGCTCAAATATGGGAGATAAACGCATAATTAGCACACAGAGACTATCTCCCTGATCGATCATGTTTTCGTTGCATTGGTCCCTGGATACCCAAAGCATGGTAAAGGCATGATACTTCTGGAAAAAGGTCTCAACTGCAGTTGAGTGAGCCTACAATATGCAGTCATGATTACTTGCACAGTGAATTATTTTAGCCTATATCTAGAAGTGCACCAGTTATGATATTGTTGCCTGAAATAGAGTAAACCATATACGTTGTAAGGATAGGAGAGCAAGGAAGTTAGTGTTTTAAGCATTAAGGGTCTATCAACGCATTATAGAAGGCATTAGTGGTAAGAGGTGAAGAGCACATAGCAATGGGAATGACACACAGCATAAGACCGGTGCATGCTTTGATGGAGTGGGTGGGATGTTAATGGGAATGGTGGCGCTTATTAATTTGATAATGGAAACGTAGCAGGTTAGTTTGCAATGAGATAGAACTGTAAGAACTGAAGTACCAGAGCAAACTCTGTTGTTCAAACTCTTCATAGAGAAAGATCTCTGACGAAACTGGTCTGATTTTTTTCAAGGGGAACTAGTGCGAAATTTGAATGACTATGCAATGAACTTTGTATCAACCTACACACTACAATCTTATAACACTAGACCTTCAGACCAACCTATTGGCCGTGTGCTGCTAAAAAGTATTATGTACTAGTGGTGCAAGATCAGTCTTCGTTCTGACCCTTCTCGCCTACAACAGAGCCTTTGCAAACACTACCATGCTTCTTTTTGTCAAAAACAACCTCTAACGCAGTAGCCATGCTTGGCTGAAAACAATAGTTACATCAGTGAAAGCAGCATCATAAAATTTGGGCTGAAAACAAGAGTTTGATGGCATCTAGCTAAACGAATCAATCAAACAGTTCTAAACCAAATCACATAAAAGTAACGTGATCCAACAAGAAAACCTAGGTCTGGCCAGGCCGCGCGATGATGCGCATGCCAACATCAGCCCTCCTAGCACGGAGAGCGAACCAAACTGTACGACCATGTCACTTCTGCTCGAACTCATCAGTATGTAAAATTATACGAGCACGGATCGACACCAAATAACCAATCACAGCCCGCAGATCTACACCTCTATCCGTAAACCGACTACAGATCAGAGGACGTAGCCTGTCGCCTCACGACCGAACCAGACCCTAAGAACACGGACCCTAATAGTGAAACAGATCCGCGATGATCATGAATTGAAGAACACGAACCCTAATAATGAAACAGCTCCGCGACGATCACGAACCGTCGCCTCACGACCGAACCAGACTCTAAGAACACGAACCCTAATAGTGAAACAGATCCGCGACGATCATGAAGAACATGAACCCTAATAATGAAACAGATCCGCGACGATCACGAACAGGGAACACAGGTGGGGGGCTATTGTCCAAACTCTTCATGGAGAAAGATCTCTGACAAAACTGGTGAGATTTTTTTAAGGGGAACTGGTGCAAAATTTGAATGACTATGCAATGAACTTTGTATCAACCTACACACTACAATCTTATAACACTAGACCTTCAGATCGACCTATTGGCCGTGTCCTGCTAAAAAGTATTCTGTACTACTGTACTGCAAGATCAGTCTTGTTGGCTTCTAAGCTGTAACCACGTCAACGGAAACAAGGTCAACACAATTGTAGGCCTGAATCTGAATTGCTAAACCGAAACGTGGTTACTATGACACGTAAATCTGACATAACATTTCCATGTAGCATGCGACGATGGAGCTGAGCCAGTGATCGATCCTGATGCGCTATCAAACTGTACGACATCAGAGGAAGTATATGAACTAAACGGCTAAAACTCTGTCATAGCTCGCCAAGCACCAAATTTTTGCCTCTCCTTGCCACAACATTCTCTGCAGTGGAGCTTTGATGCCAGAAAATTCTTAACTTGTGCTCTTTCAAAATCTCTCAAATTACGTATAACATCATGGACCTAACTGATAGAGAAAGGCCAAGAGGCTTAGATTGATTGATTGTGAGATAACAAGTGGGCTACATATATATAGAGAGAGGCTAAGCTAGAGAGTTAAGAGGGGAGAAGTCCCAGGCAACATGCCGGGAGTCCCTAGGCAGCATACTGGGTGGAAACCCAAGAGGCAGCCGATACAAAGTAATAGCTAGAGGAAATAAATACTCTAACCCCCGCAGTCGGAACGTCGTTAGAACAAACGTTCAGACTGGAGCGAAAATCCATAAAAATAGAAGAAGGAAGGCTCTTGGTGAAGACATCGGCGAACTGCGACGTGGTGGGAACGTGAAGCACACGGACAGCCCTAAGGGCGACCCGTTCTCGGACGAAGTGAAGGTCGATTTCCATGTGCTTGGTACGTTGATGCTGAACGGGGTTGGTGGAGAGGTAGACGGCGCTGATGTTGTCATAGTAGACGAGGCAGGCAGAATCCAGAGGGTGGTGCAGCTCCTGCAGAAGTTGCCGCAGCCGAGAGGCTTGGCGACGCTGCTGCTTAATCAAGACGCAGTATTCGGCCTCGGCGCTCGACCGTGAAACAGTGGGCTGGCGCTTGGACGACCAGGAGATGAGGCTGCCACCAAGGAAGACAACATAGCCGTGGTGGAGCAGCGGGTGTCGGGGCAGCCACCCGGTCGATGTCGGTGTAGAGCGATGAGCCGAGTCGAAAGCGAACGGGAATGACAAGACCAAAACTAATAGTGCCACGAAGGTAGCGAAGAATCCGCTTGGCGACAACAAGATGAACTTCCGGGGATCATGCATGTGCAAGCGACTTATTGAGCAGCGTATGCGATGTCGGGCGGGTGAAAGTTAGGTGCTGGAGAGCACCCACAAGGCTGCGATATGCTGTAGGATCAGCAACAGAGGGGCCGTCATCAGCAGAGACTTTGGCACAAGTGTCAATAGGAGTGGAACAAGGCTTGCAGTCGGTCATGCCGTGGCGAGCAAGAATGTCCAGAGTAATCTTGTGGGGGAGAAATAGAGTGTCCTTCATCATTGAATCGCCACTCCAAGAAAATGGTGTAGGGAACCAAGATCCTTCATGGCAAATTCCTTCTTCAGTGCATCAATCACCCGATATAAGAGTGGCTGAGAGGAGGCTGTAACAACAATATCATCCACATATAGGAGCAAGTAGACTGTCTCGGTGCCACGGTGATGGATGAAGAGGGAGGTGTCGGACTTGACTTCAATGAAACCCAGAGATAGCAGATAAGAAGCAAACCGGCTGTACCATGCTCGCGGTGCCTGCTTCAAACCGTAGAGGGACTTGTTGAGCCTGCAGACGTGTTCGGGAAGATCCGGATCGGCAAAACCGGTGGGCTGAGAGCAGTACATCGTTTCTGACAATGTCCCGTGAAGAAAAGCGTTCTTCACATCAAGTTGATGGATCGGCCAGTCCCGAGAGTGAGCCAGAGTGAGGACGGTGCGAACGGTAGCGGGCTTGACGACGGGACTGAAAGTCTCATCATAATCAACTCCGGGGCGCTGTGTGAACCCACGGAGCACCCAACGAGCCTTGTATCTGTCCAATGAGCCATCAGCATGAAACTTGTGTTTGAACATCCATTTTCCGGTGACCACATTTGCCTTGGCAGGCCGAGGAACGAGATCCTAAGTGTGGTTGTCCAAGAGAGCAGCGAATTCTTCTTCCATGGCCCGACGCCAGTGCGGAGTAGCAAGAGCATCGCGACAGGACCGCGGCAGTGGGGATAGAGCCTCGGTGTGTAGAGCAAGGCGAGGCTGCTTGTATCCAGACTTCCCGCGGGTTGCCATGCCATGAGAATTGGCGAGTGGCGGGATGGAGACCGCTCCTGTGGGCAGTGGAGGACCACTCTTGACGTAGCGTGGTGGAGAGGAAATCATGCCGGAGCGTCGAGGAGGAGCCCCAGCTGGGGACGTTGGTGGTGAGCTGGGTGCGGGGGCACGCCGGGTGTAGACGTGGACGACGGGCGGCTTGCTGAAGGAGTGAGCCGGGGGCGCCTGCACAAGGGGCGCCGGTGGAGGGGGTGCCATGGGCGCGGTGAAGCCGAGTGGAGGAGACTGGGATGCCGGCGTGCCTGGTCCCGGTGCCGGGGTGGCTGAAGGCACCGGCTGCGAAGGGGGCCACAGAGGTGCAGGCGCTGGCAGGGTGACAGCGACCCCAGGTGTTCCTACAGGGAGAAAAGGAACTGGCGGAGGGTCGTCATCAGTTAGAAAATCCAGTTCGTGTGTAGGCGGGGAAGGCCAGCGAAGTGAGAAAGGGAGCGTTGTTTCGTCGAAAACAACATGGCGAGAGATGATGACATGGTTTGTGGCGAGG